ACGATAAGCAAAGAAAACAACCGCTTCGCTCCAGGCAATATCTGCCAAGTTTCAATGCCAAATTGACAATATAATCCCATGTTGCTAAGCCGACATTCTTCAGTTATCAGCAAAAGCTAGCCAAATTTGATCTCAGTTCACTCTGGTTTCAACGGTCTTTGAGACAATATAAAAGGAAAATCCCACCAACCCAACCCTTTGATGAAGAAGAGGCATCCATTAATCAGGAACTATGGAACTTAATTAATTAAATATAAGAAATCAATTGTAATTATATTTGTATTGTTCTGTTTTATCAACTTGTAAATAATTTTATACATTCAAGAAAAAATAAAGAAAGCGGGACGGTGAAGCACACGTGCCGGCAAAAGAGAGCAAGGTCCATAACGGCGGGGGCCCTATACCTCTCGTCCTGATCTTCGCATCTACCATTCACTTCACCACGGGGAAGCACGGCTGGGACATGAGATTCAATGTCCATAATGGTGAGGGCCCTTACTCTCACCCTGATGTTGTTTCTCCAGCTTTTCTGGGGGCCCTTACCCCAAAGAAACTGCACTTTCCATCACCAAATTTGGCCACAAAGGATTTGCATGATTTATTAAGTCCCTTACAAATATCACTTTTAATTACAAAACTATCAATTTCCCAAACATATATATGTTAGGTATGCTATTATATATGTAATATAAGCTTCAATTTAATGTAAAATTCAATTAAACTGACTTTATATCAATAAACTTTGAGTTTGAAATAAAATGATTTCAAATTATCCCCTGTAAATAACTTTGCTTTCTTTTTTATTTACTTAATTTGAGTAGGGCAATCTCGATGCAGTCTCGCAACCAGTTAATCCTCCACAGACATTCAACTTCAACCGGCTCGGACATCACATGAGATTCAACAAATTTCTTTCTTCTAAATGTTACTCGATCGTTACATTAAAAAAGTAATTAATTATGTTACAAAATTACTTTAGTACAAGTAATTAATTACTGAAAATTACTCAAAAAGTAATTAGTAATGAGTATTTACAATACTGTTAGTCAGAGGCCAATCATACCAAATAATTGGCTGGTAATCGGCCAAAACCAATTATTTCTGTTTACATCATTTACCAGTAGGCGTTAGTTGTTTTGATGAACGTCAGATGCTTTCGAGCGTTAAAATGAAACTTGAGAAGCTAGTGTATCTCCAATTCTACAAATTGGCTGATTATGCAAAAATAATCGGCCAATTACCGATTATTAAAAATTGGCAATTAATTGTCTTAAACCAATTAATTGGCTCGTCCCTAAAAAATTCCACATCAAATTTTTAAACCATTGTGATGGTGACAATTCCTTTGAATGGTCTTGCTGGTTTTTTAAAAAATATTCCTATTTATTACAGTACTATTAATACAGACACGGAGTTAAAAAATCTTAATTATATTTACCATTCGCTAGATCATTGGTTTTCGTATCTTCTGCTGTATCTGTCCCGTTAACCACTTCACCATTAACCTCAGTGTCTGCAGCTAAAACAATGTTCACCCATATCAATAACATACATAAACTTTCACGAGCAGAAATTAAAAATAAATAACATCAACTTTTATATTTAAATATTTTGACACGTGTGTGTTAAAGTCGTTTTAACTTTGTTAATACAGACCTTTCTTCTTCTTCTTTTTCTTTTTCTTCTTTTTGACAGCAGTTGTCTCTCCTTCTTGTGTAACTTCCTCGTCTTTTTCGTCGTTATTTTGCGAGATTTCTTGGTTTAAAGCCAAGTCGTCCATTGCATTTTCCAATTTTGTGGCGGCCATGTTGAATTTGTCACGGGAACAGCGGGTTAAAAATAGAATACTTTATATGACGTATAATTAAAATCAGAAATACACCGGACTTTATTAAAATAAGGCAGTTTATTTGGAAACCAAATTAACCCCCATTCTTTCCGGGAGGTATTTTAGGAAGTATGGCTCCCTCTTCCACAATACGACTCCCTCCATATTAAGGAAACACTCTGGAAAGGGGGGGGGGGGGGGGG